CCATTCACTTTTAACAGAGTTAATACTTGTTTTTAGAATATGCAGAAAAATCTGCTATTTATAAACTTTAATACTGTGGCATCAATAAGAAGTTCATTAGTATAGAAACTAGTCTATGCAATTAGTTATCATTAAGAATACGTATAGTGCATAATAGTAGAACGAATAAATATCACCTTTTACTGAGTCTAGATAATTTAATAAGGTGATCCATATGCATCTACAGTATAATAATATTTCTAATGTTGAATTTGTATTTCTAATTTAATTGTATGAAATAATATTTCTTGATCTAGAAATTTCAATAAATAATACAGCAATATATTTGACAATTATTACAATAATAATTGTTATTGTATTGCTATTGTATTATTATTGTTTTCTAACATCACGTTAATTCTATGCAATATAAAAGAATGATGGTTATCAACCAACAGTAAAGACTGAATGGAAATAAATTAGATATTTATCCAGCAACAAGAAAACTGCATTATAATCGGTTTATATTCAGTGATGATATTATTGTAGTAATGGTAGGGTAGATTTAGTTAGAAACTGCAAATGGATGTGTCGAAAGTTCATTTGCTGTTGGTCGATCATTATGATTCCTATTAAAATTAAAAATAAACACCTCATTATATATAATGATGAATTAAATATTGAATGTCTATTAAATAACATACGGTTCAAATGTTTTTTTCAAGAAATCTTTTGCTTCATCAGATATATTTTCCGGAATTTCTGGTGCACATGATTGCGTACCAATCTATATTTATCAAGGTTAGTTATAAATTTTATCATAAATTTGTAATATGTTATAGAATCTAATAATAAATAAATTAACCTTGAACATTGCTTGCATTTGATTAAACTCCGGGAAGGGATGATTTCTTGTAAACATTTCAACAATTAGACACCCTAAACTCCATATATCAGCTTTACTTGTATAAGCTGTTTGTTTTATAACTTCTGGTGCCATCCAAAAAATAGATCCTTGCAACGATGGTCGATGCACTGATATTGATGCCCTGATCTCTGTTATAAGAATTAGATAATGTAAATTTGAAACTTGAAAATTATCCAAAATCGAAATCATCAAGTTTTCACTTACGGTCTTCTACTTTTTTGGATATTCCAAAATCTGATATTTTTATTCTTCCTTTGTTATCCACTTTTGTCAATTTGTTACAATATAATTTTAGCAGATTTTTAATTCAAAGAATTTTATAATTTATAATCTTTTAAAGAATTTACCTAAAACATTAGCCCCTTTAATATCACGATGTATGATGTCTTTTCCATGCAAATACTCTAACCCTTGTAAAATTTGTCGGACAAATGACCTAACTAAAGGCTCTTCCAATGCGCCATAGTTATTAAGTATTGTTGTAACAGATCCACCGGGTACATATTCCAAGAAAATATTTAATGTTTCATCATCACGTTGACAACCTGACAAAATAAAAAAACGTAATTGGTTTGTTTTCGCAATTTATTAAAAAAAAAAAAAAATTTGTTTAAAAACGTACCAAGATATTGAACGATATTTTCATGTTGCAGTTCTTTCAAAAGAGCAATTTCTCTTTGTAAAGCATCCACCTATGCGAAATAATTCATTAACATAATAAATGTATGCAACAATCGTATAAATATAATCAAGTTTTTATGCTAACCATAGATT